AAAGCAGTGGGACAAAATTTGCATTCAAGCCACATACTTGCCTCCATCTTTCAGGATTGCATTGATCCTTATCATTCTAGCCAAATCTGTTAGATTGGTAAAAATCTGTATATATTGGGAAGGAATAAAATCATGTTCAGGACAAGCTTGACTCCATGTAATTTTGTGGACAGAACCATGCAATTTTATTACCAAAAGTACAAAAGAGGTTGGTCACTGGCTTTTTTCAAGATGTTTTACTAATTTCCATCCTACGCTACAGTCCTAATAGTCTCCCTTCTAAATACTAAGTAGGTTCGATCCATTTTAGCTGAACCCTGACAAGATTAGCTGAAGGCATATAATTCTGGCATCAATTTATCAATATAAAGTTGTGATTGTCGCACAAGAGCAAATTATAAAACACCATTATTGTGCATCAAAATTAATTAATTGATATATAGGATATGCTTGCGTGCAACATAAACTTACATATAACTTATCTTGGTTATTACTTTTAGATATCACTTAACCTCTTCAATATCACTAAAATAATAATTTTAAATATATTACATGCATGGTTGGGAGGTAAACCATGCCTATAACAATTTTGGAGAATCCATGTAGTTTATCAGAATTAATCTATATATTACTAAAACTCCTCTGTTTGTCACCTTTAATTGGGTGAAATGGTACATCACAAGGCAACATTTTTTAAATCAAAGTAACTCAAATAGCCTGAGTTAAAAATGCATCCAAGTTCCAGAACCAATTATCTCTGTGTAAAGGAAACTTCAAGGATTTTCACACCAGATGTATTCACAAAATTGTGGCCACTGCAACAGTATCACAGTTAGCCATGATCACATGACCATGATTTCCAAGTACATTTTCCAGAACCCCATAGGTTCGGGGGGGGGGGGGATTCTACCGGTTCTGTCTGACTCTGTAGAACCAGTAGCTCTGAAGAGCAGCAGATATAGAACCGGTTCTATATCTGCTGATGTTTTGGCCCACCCGCCTGCCTGGGTTCTTACCTGACCTTTATTTCCTGCTTTTTCAACCTCAGCTGTGGTTGAAAAAGTAGGGAAAAAGTGCTTTTTCAAATACTGCTTCTCTGCACGCAGCGCTGCTCAGCTGTCCAGGCAGTAAGCTGATGACGATTTACAGGCGCGCATGCAGCATGCAGGGAAGCACATCGTACATCACCGAACCAGTAGTTAACCTTGTCGGATCCCACCCCTGCATAGGTTGTATGGAACTAGAAAAGATGGGGAAAGCATATCCCTGTGCTCTTCCCTGCTCCCTCTTGCGTCTGCATTAAAACAGCTGGTAGCAAGTTCTGACTGGCAAGCAGTGATTGCCTGCTTGGGAACCAAGGCCAAAGTCTGAAAACTCTTATTGACAGTGGGCAGGGAGAGAAACAACAGGGGGTGATTCAGATGCATATTTATGAGGTAGGGATGGCTTGGATGTGCTGTTGTTAGGTAAGTACTCTTTCTCCCTGGAGGAAGGGGGCTCTTGGGGACACAGCTGGATGGGGAGCAGGCCAGCAACTCCCCTTGTTCCTGTTCCATCTTGCAAAATGACAGACAGTTCCTTGGATCAGCCAAGTAGAAGGAGCAAAAGGAGGTTTCACTGGGGCTCTGATGAGGGTCATGAGAGGAGGGAGAATAGCACTAGCCAATATTATATGCAAGGGACACAGTGGCTCAGTGGCTAAGACGCTGAGCTTGTCTATCAGAAGATCGGCAGTTCAGTGGTTCAAATCCCTAAGCACTAAGCACTGCGTAAGGGAGTGAGCTCCTGTTACTTGTCTCAGCTTCTGCCAACCTAGCAGTTTGAAAGCATGTAAAAATGCAAGTAGAAAAATAGGGACCACTTTGGTGGGAAGATAACCACATTTGGTGCACCTTCGGCATTTAGTCATGCCACGTGATCACGTCTTTGGACAGCACTGGCTCTTCAGTTTTGCAATGGAGATGAGCATCGCCCCCTAGAGCCGGAATGACTTAGCACGTATGTGCGAGGGGAATCTTTACCTTTACCTTAAATTATATGTGGAAAGAAGGATGACCATAGGTTTTCTAGGTGCTTATAATGTCTTGAGAAGTCAATTTGGCTGAAGGAACAGCAGAAATCTAATAGTAGAAATCTAAGGCTTCTAAAATATCTGATTATGTAAGACTTCAGTAAAGAACTGCACGGTTTAGCCAATATAATAGAATAAATCAAACTTTGACTTGTTATACTGTTGTTTTTAAAAATTATATTTAAGGAATATAATCTGGGGTGGAACCAGTGGTAAGAAAAGAAAAACACCCACACACTTGTGGATAGGTATTGTATATATTGTTATGATTTTTTTTTTTACAATGGCATTTTTCTCTTGGTAGGTACATCACTGGAAAAATACAGACTGCAGTTTTCTTGTTTTATTAAGTTCTCATAAAAATTACAATAGAAAATAATCCTGTTGTGTGTATTCAGTATATTTAATCTTTTAAGCTCATCATATTTACTGTGAAGCTCTCTGTAAGTAAGTCACATGTATGGATTTTTTTTCAGATAGCTGCTGAGAATGAGTGAGAGAATTGCATATCTTCCCATTCTCTGTTAGCCAAATGTCAAATGCACTGATTTTAATACAAAAGGAAAATTGTACTTTGTCACTCTAAAAATGCAGATTGTAATTTTGAAAGTTCTTAGTACTGGAACTCAAACTGTATAAAACATGATGTCTCATATTATCAACTAGTTTAAGAAAATCAACTAAGGAATAAGGTCAAAATCTATAAATAATATGTGGTATCAAATTGACATTAGCATCATCAGAGAGAGAAGAGAAGAACTTCACATTCATAATGTCATCACATACATCACATTGCAAAAAGGATCAAATTACATAACTTTACAATACTGTTTGCACAATAATGTCATGATAGGCTAACATTATCATGGATCCTTATATAGCACTTATTCATATTTAGCAAGACTAAGACTAATAAATGTACTGTTTTCATTTGGTTTATTTTAAATAATGTTAAATCTGGATCCAATTTAAAACACATTATTTAATTCCTAGAACAGCCAATCTAATACGATTAAATAATAAGATTATGAAAGATTTCAAGGCAGAGGCATATTGTTTAATTCCTGAGGCAGAACCTTACTAAATGGGTTAAGAACTAAGAACTGGGAGAAGAGCAGAACTATTATTTGATAACACATGATAGACAAGAAATTCATCTATTTTATGAGTTTGTGATGAGAAAAATCCTACCTATTTTAGATTTCTCCTTTCATGTAGTTGACATTGCAGTGTATTGAGCAGGATGTATGGGTGTGTGTGGGTGTGTGGGTGTGTGTGTGGGTGGGTGGGTGTGTAAAACAGAGAGAGATGAAATATGCATTGCAGCATTGTAATGCTATATCCAACATTACAGACTTTAGTAAGACACTATGATGTAAATTTGAAAAGATTTGTATTTTGATGTTATGAGACATTTATCATCAGTCTAGCACCATATGGGTAGGAATGGTTACCTAGAATAGCTCATAAGAGTCAGTAGACACAATCCAAAGAACAATCTTCATATAAGGAAAAGTACTATTACATACAATACAATACTGTTTTATTACATCATGGAGACATTAGTACTGATTAAGAGCCACGTCATATTTGAAGTGAAACAGGTAGTCAGAAGGCCAAATCATTGAATCATAGGGGTCAAAGAGATAGCAACTCATCCTAGATTTGGAAAGTAGATATGAGAGCATAATGGATGCACTGCTTCAATCTATGGGTGTCATTCTCCACTTCTATATTTACAAACTCTATCCATAAAACACCTTTGAAAAATATTCTAACTACAGTAGTTTGCTATTCTTAAACTATCCTGCTTAACTAGAGGAACAATAAGCAAGCATGAATCCTTGATCACTAAATATATTAAAATTAAGCTGTTTACACATAGCCTTAGGAAAATACCCCTGATAATTGTCCAAAATGTAGCTCATTTTACTGTAGTTATACATATGCATTTGAGTGAATAACAATTTTTCTAAAACTGGTAGAAAGCTATGAGCCAAATTAAAAGGGATAATTATTCTATTTCAAATAATTGTTTATTTTAAAACAATGAACTAATTTCATTATGCAAAGTGTCCCTATTTACTTATTTATCACAGTAAGCATAAGGTGAATATCAGCAGCTTACACTACAAATTGCTAAACATATCACCAAGACAAAATAAAGCGCAAACGAGAAACGGAAAATATCTGCAATAGCAAGATTTTTACTAATGACTAAACACCAAATTTAGCAATCAAAAATTTCAGGAGAAAATATAATCCCATTACATTGATGCCTCAATTAATACAAGTTATTATGAAATTATGTATATTTGTTTGAGTGTTAATTAATAAATCTCCCTCCTTTGAGAATGTTTTGGGTAAACCATTGCAGAAAGGTTTATTATTATTGCATAATGATCTTTACAGAAAAAATAGACCTAGCATTTAATCAGCTTCATTACCTACAAGCGTATTTTTTAAAAGGTAATATTTAAATGTCTGGTTAGTCAAATTACCTTAACCAAATTTTTATTTCGGGGGATGTGAAAAGTTATCCCGGAATACATTTCAGCTAGACATAACTACTATCAGGAGTAGTTACTACCGTCTTTCCAATTGCAATATACAATAGTGCAAACCCTTCAAAATTTGACATGGTAATCATGTAGAGCTATCACCTGTTATGTAAAATTGTGGTGACTTGCATTCCATGGGGCTCTATTTATCTCAGTCTCAATAGTGAGCACAGATTAAAAATTTTCCTACCAAAATCATTGCTCAATTTAATTCGGAAACTAGATTTTTTGAACTTGATGGAAAGCCAATTTGGAACATTTTTTTTTTTTAAATCTGGTTTTCTTTCATTGTTCAAAAAATGTAACAAAGGCTGAAAAACGTTTGACAGAATCTTTAGTTCATATAGTACATAATCAACACATAAAATTTAAGCCCAACCCAATACAATCTGAGCAACAAGAAGATAACACATTCCAATGGTACAGGATATGACGGTCATGGGGAACCCCAACCTAAAAATGAAGAAAGAAAGATAGAAAGAAAGGAGTCAGTATTTTCTTATTAACATTTTCATTGAAAGAGAATGCTATAACTAACAAGTACAATAACAAAGCAATGCCAAGTTAGTGTTGTAATTGATTGATCTGTTACAATTTTATAAACATAATTTACAAATGTATGTGCCTTTGTAATACATCAGATAAATGAAGGCAAATCATCATTATAAAATCCTGCTGAAAATGCTAGATTAGAAAGTAGTTTCAACATGTATTAAAATGAGACCTAATTATAATAATTTTGATGGATTATGCCAACACAATGAGTAACCGTTATTTCAATTTGATTTACATATCTATAGTTTCATTCCCCAAGTGCATAAAGGAAGGATACAGTTTGCAGACTGAGGGTGGAAGGAAAAAAAAATACTTTGCAGGCTATTTTCAACCATTAACTGGAAATTAGAGAGTAAAATTGAAGCCAGATATAACAAATCATGTCTAAAAATACTTAATTCCTCTTCTGTATTACTTATTACCAACATGCTAATAGTATCTGAATATATTTCTACCGTGTGGGCCATAACAATTGAGAGACTAGGATTTGTCAGCAAAGGACCAAATCAGAATAATCATGGCATATTTTCACAAACCCCACATTTTTGACCTAATGTTTCTCAGTAACTTTTCTACCATATGGCAAATTTTGTATGATGCTCCTTTGCAGTATAAATTATGATAATAAAACAGGTGTCTGCTCTAAATTTAGAAAACTCAGTAGTTCAGAAGTTCAATAACACATCAGAACGAAGTTCTCTCCCTAAATGATCAGAAGAGTGCACCACAACAGCTATTTATATGTCCCATTTTCCTTAAAGTATTGTAGTTTTATCATGGCAGCCAATAAGCAGGGAATTTTGGAATATTTGCAGCTTCTGATTTTTGGTGGCCTTTTGCTCCGAAGCCACCAAACTCTCATCATGCCAAACCTTTAACCTTCAAATAGTTTATTTCAACTCTGGTCATGGCCACAAGAGGTTAGTTAGTCTCTTCATTCATCACATATTTTAACCCCGAGACATATCCTGTACCAGATCTCAGATAGAAAGGTTCAAATCACTGCCTGATTATAGACAAGACTCTTTTAACTCCTGGATTTTAAGCATTTTGTCTCTGCTCTCAATTTGCTATGTAGAAAACTACACTGAAAATCTTGCCTTTTTTTTTTTTAAAGGTGAATGATAACACTTACGGTACATTTATTCACCTATTTTCTTAATAAGAAAAATAAAAGAAACCTTAGGAGATTAGTTTCCTTATTAAAACCAATCTGTATGTTCTACTACTTTAAACAAAGCAATTATCCAAGTAACTTTTAAAGCCTCTTTGGACAGTTGTTCCAATACAGCAAAGCTGGAAGCATGGGCCAGATGAACATATATTACATTTCTACTAATTTAATTGAAATACAGAAACTCAAACATTTTAAATTAAAAAGCTAATTTATTTTTTAAAAGCTAGAAAAAAATTTCAAATACTTTCGGATAGGAAAGCAGCACTTTCTAAAATGTATTTGCAGTTAGCAAAAGCATCTAGGAGACAAACGTCCTAGTTACATATATTATGGTTGAGAGCATTAGCAATGTGTTATTCATGTATCTAGAGGTAAGCTTGGGATCAAGGGTCTGGGATCTTCTCTGGAATTCTCAAATTAGCCTTTCATCTGATTTTACTCAAAACATATTTATCATCACTTTCTTCAGCTCTGTGATAAAGTCGTAGATAAATAATAAATAAGTGGGTTTTTGTTTGTACTGTGGGCTGAAATCTCAGCATCATTGCTTTAGCCTTTGTCTATAAACAAACATGAAACTCAAATACTTTGGCCACCTAATGAGAAGGAAGGACTCACTGGAGAAGAGCCTAATGCTGGGAACAATTGAGGGCAAAAGAAGAAGGGGACAGCAGACAATAAGGTGGCTGAACGGAGTCACTGAAGCAGTTGGTTGAGCCTTAAATGGACTTCGGGGGATGGTACAGGATAGGAGGGCCTGGAGGAACATTATCCATGGGGTTGCGATGGGTTGGACAGACTTCGCGACTAACAACGACAAATAAACAGACAAATAAATCCAAAGCTATTAAAGTTATTTTGGATCATAAGGCAGAATATCCTACAAGTTCTTTTTCCTTCCTCTTTTTGCAGTAAAGGTTCAATAATATTTTAAAATAAGCAACCATTTTATATGCCTTCATAACACCTCAAATCTGTTGTCTGAGGCAGATGCCCTTTTTACCTAATGATATATTTGCAAGCAATGATCAGATATTAGTAAAGTTCCTTTCTTTCGACAGACTGGATATTTTTACATCTAGCTGTTTTCCAGAGCTTTGACATCAATCCCAGAATTTTTGATCATGTGCATGCTACTTGGAAAAGTTGGATGTTGAAATAGACACATCTGGAAATTTCCCAGGTTGTGAAACACTGATGTAGTCCATTACTGTCAGATTCACAGCAGCCTCCAATAAATAAAAACAGGGAAACTTTTCCTGGTACTTAACCGAAAAAAAGCAGAAAGGATTGAAACTGAGCCTTTACATTGTGGTCTGATCACTTTATCATATTGTATGTGTGTACAACCTAAAAGTGACAAGCTGTTGCAACTGTGTTTCTGAGTTAAGCATCATCTTACATATATAACTCTTCACAATTCAGCTGGTCTCCTTAAAACAGTCTGAAATAGCTTGGAATTCTTCAATTACTTTTAATTGTCTCATAAGTCACCTAAATGTTAAGGGGACAAAAGACAACACAATCTCAGTCTATTGCTATTGCATCTGCTGTTCATACCTTCTGTCCTTGTGTTCTTTTGGCTTCATTGATTTTTCTAATGATTTATAAGCAGTTGACAAAAGGGGCTTTTCAATCTAATGAACTTTAAACTGTCCCCACCATTGAGTAGATTTTTTTTATTCATGTGTCTTTGAGTCAGCTGAAAACAATAACATCATGAAATTTTGTTTGTCCATTGGTTTGGTTTGGTTTGGTTTGGTTAGGTTAGGTTACAGGAGGTGAAGGGCTTTGTATGTATTTGAGCATACCTCAAAGAGAATGCCAATTCATGCTCCATCATCCATTGCAGAACCTCAGACAAAACTTTGTCCTAATAATAATTGGGGCAGGAATTTACATATAAACAAGAATTTGCATAAAAATTTAACTGATAGATGGGAATGGTAACAAAAAGAAGCAAATAAATCACTTTACACAGAGGACAAGCATTGGATCATGAGAACTGTCTTCTTGAATCCCCTAAAGAACACATTCATTTACATCATTACATCTGTTTGTTTGCATCAACATATGTTCACTTCACAGAAGGGTATGCCAGTGTGTCAACAATCATATTAAATAAATTATTCTAAAATTAAACCTCCCAAACTCATTTCCTTGTCATAGTTATATGCATTACTAACTTCATGGACTTTAGAAAAATAATAAAGGTAGTCCCTTTTAGATGGCATTGAATGAAAATATCAATGGGTCAAACAGCTGTTTACGAGCAGTACTTAATCATTGTATTCATTATTATTTGCTTGTACAAATTATTTTTGTATGTGTTTTAGTCGTGTATATTGCCAGCTGTCTAGATTTTCTGGCATCACCACCATACAAATGCAGGTAAAAGAGTAAAAGATTCAACTGTATCAGCCTGCAGTCAGCCATGGCTCTCTAACAATCTGTCATGTGCAACATTTAAACATTAAGTGGACTCTCAGTTCAGAAATGACAACATGGGTTCTTATAATTTTTTTCATAAACCTAGCAAAAAAACAATAGAGAAAGGCAGAGACTTTTAAAAAAACTCTAGGAAGAAAAAAAGAGGAAAGATGAAGATGTAACGATTGAATTGTCCAACACAAAATTGGCTCTTGATGCTTAGCTGTTCCCAGGAGATCCTCCTGGATGAAGCAGAGAGAGGACTGAAGACTCATTAAAGAATAAATGAACTGTCATGGGACAAACCTTTCCTCCACAGAAAGTTTCCATGGAGGGTTGAAGAGAAAGATGCCACCAAGAGAGAACCAGAATGCTAACTAGCATAATTATCAGTGAACTGGGAAAAATAGTTGCAGACACAAATACTTCTCTCACCCCATTTCCCTCATACATTCATACATTCACTCACAATTTTACTGACAAACATTCACATTATTGTTGCTACTGCATGGGTAATTGAGCCGACCCTGGTATTTTCAAGGATATGCTAATATCCAGAAGCAGCCTCACCCTACCCAGGCTCTCTACTGACAAAAACAAATGCAAGGACAGAGTGGGGAGATGTATGAAGAAGGTACATGATAAGCAAGTCACAGACAGGGAAGTAGAGGCAATATGTAGAGATTGGCAGCTGTTAAAAGCAAGCAAGAGGACTATCATTAAACAGCTAATCACTTATCCTGGTGGAAGACCTACTTGGAGCTTTGCCAAGAGATTGGTAGCAACTAGAAAATCAACCACGCTGAAGCAACTCCTCATCCCAACAACTATAAGAACCTTTGTAAGGATGCAAAGGTTGCATGCTATTTTACAGACTTATAGTTATTATTAAAGACATCACCTTGCAAGTCCCAGAAACGTGGAGGCAAATAGACACAAATAAAGCATTGTGCACACATTTGCTACACTGTGTGGTGTTTCCTGTGAAAGCAAAGAACTCTCACACCCATAGACTCATCTCTAAATAGGAAGTAGGGATAAAACACAAGTATAACATTAGTCCTATTTAGTCAGAACCAGAATCTACACACATAACGTGGTACACTTCACCAAGATGTTTTACTTTAGTATTAGAGAAGTAATTTGTTTTATAATGCCTGAGCAGCTGCTCCTAACTCAGGCTACAATAAAAGAATGCTGCCTACAATCAAAGCTGAAGGATTGTATTGTTTTGTTTGCTGACACAAGTAGTCTTTCATTGGCTGTGTCTTAAATCAAAATCCTAAACACC